TTATAACTCTATGTTCAATTAACATTAACGTAACTTATTATGTGCAACTTACATTTTATTGTTGTTAAACGTCTACATTTAGTAACTTCAACTTTAATTACCAGTTAACCGAACTTCGAGTTACGGGAAACATACAACGTTAAACAAACAAAACATTCTATATTGCCCGTAACTCGGAGTTCGGTTAACTTTTACTTAAACAGGAATTATAAATTGGGCGTCGGTGGTTTCGCAAAAATGGACGTGGTTTCTAAAATATGGGCGTGGTCATTTTTGTAACTCGATGGGCAACACATTTTTGTTGTTTTGTTTAACGTTTAAATTTGGTAACTCGAATTTTAATTAACAGTTAACTGACTTACGAGTTACGGGAAACTTACAACAAATTCTATATCGCCCGTAACTCGAAGTTCGGTTAACTGTTAATTAAAACAGGAATTATAATTTGGGCGTGGTTTCGCAAAAATTGGGCGTGGTTTCTAAAATATGGGCGATGTTTTCGTAACTCAATGTTCGTAACTCGGACAATTAAGCATCTCTCTTACAGTAAATCAAAAGTGAAGTATAGTATGATTTGTGCGTATTGCGAATTTTAGAACGCAGTGTGGCGTGGGCGGCATCGAATATATAGTTTTTGAGTTAATGTGGTAAGTGTCTGCTTCGAGTAACTTAGCCCTGGTTATGGTAAACATTTGAACTGTGTTGTAGTATTATAACTTCTGGCTTGTAAGAGGTGAAAAATCGATTGATTGGGTTATTTTATGCAAATGATAGCGTTCTTCTATTATTATTATTATACCCGATAGTTTAAACTGCTAGTGTGACGTCATGTAATCGTATAATACGTGCAATAAAGTATACAATGGTATTCTGATATATACATAATGCGGGGGAAACGAGCATTAACATAACAACACGCGATTCGAACTCGCGCGTACAGCGTAGCGCCTCGCCACTGCAAACACCGTATCTAATACCAGATACCCGTGTTTTTTGTAACACAATCAAGCCAATGAAAATAAATTTGTTTTATAAGTTACACACAACAGTGGTTTTATTATCCGCGCAAATCCACGACACGTTGTATTGCCTTTCATGCCTTGTGCGAAATTGATTCATGGTGATAAATCCGCTATGTTGTCAATTTCATTCCGATTTGCATTTCTATGAGTTGGGGTCAATGTACATTCTTTCTTATCTGGCTTTAATTATTTGAATAAAATAAATCAATATTGTGCTAAATGTGTGTAGACATGGCGTCACATTCGCGATGTATTGTACGCACTTGATGTTGTGAAAATTTCACAGCGGTCTATATTTTTTCCTATATTTTTCTATATATTTTACTTATCGTGTTGATGTAAATCGTCGTTTTTTTTTCGTGTAGTTGTATACATACTACGTAACGATTAATTAGAATTGGTTTGAAAGTTGTGATCCGCCTTATCAAAACACTATCATGTGAAAAGTATCAGTATATTGCGTTAAATGTAAGCCGAGTTCCAAGATAAAATGTTAAATGCTTTCCAAGCAAACTGCTATAGCTGAGAATAAAACACAAATATGCATTTTTTTCAAATCCAAATTTTTGCGTATTTTATACGCGTTTGTATGCGTCGCACTGGACCCATATTGAGTTCGACGCATCGCGGCGACCACTGTCCTGTTAGAAAATGCGATATCTTAAATTAGAGTTAGTATGCCCACGACATCTGACAAGATTTTGCTTGGTGCAACTTAACATGTAGAGGTGCGAAGATGTATATATGCAATATTATTATTTCCGTCCCTACTTGTGAACATGAAGCGACGTTACCACACAAGTACTTCAAATATGCCCGGGGCAGCTGATACATAGCTGGGTAGGGAGGTGCCCCGAGTGCTCAAAAGTTTAACCATTTTTATACCTGGATAGTGGCAAAATCTATACACATATTTATACCAAAGTACCATTTCTGTCATCACTTGTTCTTTTAGAAGAGCGTATCCAATAGAAGCACATGTAGGCCAACAGTTGCACATTGTATATTGATTTATTAAAATGTGTATTTTGATCATAGAAACACCACTGTCACTTACATAAGAGCATATTTATTACCGATATTTATAGCTATCTTGACCAGAAATAAGACCGACACTTATACCTAAAATCCAAAAAAACGAGACCCATTTAAGGGGCACGTTCCCATTAGGCAAGTTCTATGTATTGACCCCCGGGCAAAAATGGCGTGTTTCAGATACACAATTACGCGCATGGAACCGGTACAGATAAGGAGAGAGTTCGGAGGTAGGCATTGAAGGTCGGGAATGAGACCCCAAGCTGTCGCACTATTGTACATGTATCGTATATAATATATATACGATATATGCGATGTCAATAAACCGATGTATCCACTTCCGATTCGATGCAGCTTGTCCTTCCCTTATCCCGAACACAAATGTACACACCGGCATTGCAAGATATTACAACCCTTGAAGTATACTTAAATTGTGTCAAAGTTACACCATGAGTCAGCTTTAATATATAATACAGTGTACACATAATAAACAGTACTCTTTACCCCAATACGTGATCAAGTCTCCCCACCTCCAAAATATATAATAAGTATATTGAAAATATTTCATAATCATAATCCGAGCAAATGTTTGAGATATATTTCAACCATTAAGTAATCTATTTCTATTTATTAGGTGAGTACATGAAAACTATAATTTCAGTAAATATCAGTAAATGAATAAATATAATTCCAGTGCGTTACATGGTGTTGGTGTTGGGTTTCATTTTATAACTATTGGCGTTGTTGTATATGGTATAAATACACCCCCCCCCCCAAAAAAAAAAACTACAGTCTGTCTATAGAGGTGTCCTAACCCATGACGTGGTGCTAATCTAAGGAGTTTTTGTGTTGAATACCAACGAGCTGGTGTTGTGACTTCATGTAAATCGTGTAATGTATAATGTATCAGACAATGTCTGTACAGATGTACGCTGGTAGGAATGTATATATACTTTTACCCCAGTGACATGCATACCCGCGTTTTCTATCAAAATTCCGTCAGTGAAAGTGATTTATTTTATAAATTACACATTTCAACGGTTTTATTTTTCCAGCCATTGTGCAAAATTATTTGGTACTGATGAATCCTCGAACGCATTTCAATAACATTACAC